TTAAGGCTGTTTTTCTGTTCGAATCATTCTATCTTTGTTATTCATTGAATTTCAAGAAAGATAGAACGATGTTCATATCAATTGCGTTTCCTAAAAGAAAAGCAGTCTAAAACACAATACTTCAGCAAAAGCAATGCAGAACAAAAGCCTATAAATATACTTTTAATATTCTTCAATTATTTTTATATTTTATTACAATATGTTTATAATATATAAATAATAATTAGAGGAAAAATAAAACAAATAGTAATTGTTTTGGAAAAACGATACAATGGTTTAAAATTAATAAAAATCCAATTTAACATTAATATATGATAGTCTAAAATCTTCAATATTTTTTGGAATAATTCTAGTTTTAAAGTATCTTAGATCTTGAGCTGATATGCTCCAGCTGCAGATGCCTTGCACTAATTCCTTATATTTATATAATACAGAAGTAAACGTTTTTAAGAAAAGGAGAGAGGGAGGGAGAGAGAGAGAGAGAGAGAGAGAGAGAGAGAGAGAACAATTAGGATGGAATTCATTAATTAATAGCGTTGTCAAGAAGACATTTATGCTATTAAGGTGGAAGAGAAGTCCGCGATCCGAGCTCTGTATTTCGTCCGATATATCCACGAAGAAAGTCAAGTAAATGATTCGCTCCGTCGAATCGAGCAGCAATGGATCCCAATTATACATCGAACACCATGGAGACCCATAGCGTACGGGTGCGTACCGCTGGAATTCGCGAAAAATCAATAGAACCCCATCGTAGTAGTGGTAGTGGGGGAGGAACCGAGGCTCTCTTTTAAAATCAATGACCATCCGCGTCGAGGGATCTCGCTCGTTCTCGCCCCTCCACACCTCTCTCACTCTCTCTCTTTTTACCCACGGCACCGTCGTCGTTGTCGTGATCGCGCTCTTCAATCGACCTGAAACGATACCGCTCTCCGGAAGCTGCGACGACTTACCAGGCATAATGTTCTGAGAATAACCTGCGGCCGCTGGACGAATGCGATCAGATCGAAAGGGGCCCCGGCCTTTCCACCGCCGTACGCTCCACCGTCCATCTTCGTGCGACTGAAGCGGAGATTTCAAAGCTCATGCAGCGACCGGGCGTATGCGCATGCGTTTGCCGCTTCGACGGCGGCCCCGGGGGTGTGTACGCAGATCCGGCGCAACGCCGTAGTTCCGTGCCGTATCGTTCGTTGAGTCTGCCTGAATACTGAAATTCCCCATGACTATCTTCGATCGAGCTGTCTCACAATTTACACCCTATATACACCCCTCTCAACTTTCCCCGTAGTGGTTGCGAATATTATGATTGTTCCGCAGGCTCTATTCAATTTTTTCCCGATTTGTCTCTATATATATGGCATATATATGCGCGGACCCTTTGACTTCTTCATCCTTCGTTCAAATTCTAAAAAGGACATGGTACTCCGGGACGAAAAGGATTTCTGTCTTGAGAAAAGAGAGGACAAGAATTTATTAAATCTAATTAATTTTAAGTAAATTTTATGTAATTAACTAATGTCTCTTTCAATAATCAATGCATTAAGCAGATAAAGCTTTACAACAGTATTTGTTTACATGACTTGTAATGATATTTAAATTCAGCGAAGAACTAAGAATAAGACCAATCATATAAAACAATAACAGCAAAGTTGCTTTCTCTGTTGAACGTAGGCGACAATGCAGACTCTTCATTTATTTTTCTAATTCTTAGAACTAGATGAAGAATAGGAAACTTAAACTAACATAAGATTAAAGTTTATCTATATTGATGGAAATAAACACGAGACAATTTTTCCGGAATTTTAGGTACTGTGAATGGTGTTAATTAAAGAGAGCCTTTATTCTGAAACATGTTATTAAAAATGTATATTTATGACACATGTGTGTGTTTATAAAGTATACAAAAAATTTGTTTGTATGACTTAAAAAAATTATATGTACCTATATTAGTAATCTGCACAACTTAACAATCTATACCTACATATTTTATCTCCAAAGTCTGTTTAATAATATGTATGTTGCAACACACAATCCGCCGAATGAAATGCTATACAATACGTAAGAATGTTTTTGGTTGTTTTTAGACTGAAAAAAAAGAAGTTTAGTTTAGATATTTCTGAAAATAGGTGCAAAAGTTGTCAAATAAAATAAAATGTGCTATTAAATAATAAGTTAAACTAGATCAAATGAACAATATAATTAAGTAAAAAGCATGTCAAATGCGATCGAGATTGTGGATCTTAGTGATTAATAATATTTCTCTATGTTAATTTTGAATTCATCTTTCAGTTATAAATTGTACATTGATTACTATCACATTTGAATTGCAATCATAAATTAAAACAGAATTAATATCACAAATTGATTGTCATTTAATAATAATGCTAATAAGCACATAGTTTAAATATAACTGAAAGATGTATTTAAAATTAATCAGAAATATTATTAGGTGTCAAATTAGACCACTGTAAATAACACAATTAAGTATATTCAGCACTGATCATATTTGTGTTTCGTTACTCATTTATATTCTACTACAGTTCGCTCATTTCAAACAAATGTTTAATTATGAACACCTTAATTTGAAGAAATGTATGAATATAACATATTTTGTGATACATACAATTATCATAGCTTCTAATTCTTTCAATTTCAACTCAGCCTCACTGACTTCTTTAAGAGTAGCCTCAGCGGACACACATAGAATTTGAGAAGCACTTAAAGCCTTATCTGTTTCAACAAAGAAGTTGATTCTTTCTTTTTTTAGCTTTATTTTGCAATACTTCACAAAGTCTTGGATTATGCTGAGCTGCCTTTCACCTACCTGCAGTATCTCTATTTTATCAAGTATACTGTAAAAATGATAAAATTTTTCAATTTCGATGTTATAAGTAATAAAAACAAATTTAATAACAATCTGATACCTGTAATGAGATTTTGGTTTTACATTATATTGTTTTTTCTTAGAAATACATAGAGCGTTGACTATGTTTTCTGCATGATTTGCATCTGCACCTGTAAGCAATTCCTTATTATCATTTTTATATATACATGCATATATTTACACATATCATAAAAATATAATATAATATAAAAAAAAAATATAAATGATAATATTCACATTTCTAAATAACTTTGTAACAACAGATATATAATTCAAATAGAAACTTCTAATAAATTATATTTAACTTATTGGAAAGAAAAAGGGCACTAGGAGTTAGACGCAGATAACTTTATGCAAACGCTGATATTTATCAAGCAAAACTTATTTATTACAAAAATTATTCTTACATGTTTCGGCTCAATTTTGAGCCTTCTTCAGAGACAATAAAAAATTACATAAATAAAATATAGTTTAAAGTTGACAACAGATTAAAGGATGTTTAAAACACCGCGAGCTCCCCCACAACTGAGAAATAAATCAGATGACAATTTCATCTTAAAGAACAAAATAATATGACCAATAAAGGCAGAAAAGAAAAATTAATAAATAGGATGGTGTTTTAAACATCCTTTAATCTGTTGTCAACTTTAAACTATATTTTATTTATGTAATTTTTTATTGTCTCTGAAGAAGGCTCAAAATTGAGCCGAAACATGTAAGAATAACTTTTGTAATAAATAAGTTTTACTTGATAAATATCAGCGTTTGCGTAAAATTATCTGCGCCTGACTCCTAGTGCCCTTTTTCTTTCCAAGTTAATTTTAAATTGTATGGGAGTTTTTGTTATTAAAGAATTATTATATAAATTATATATAGGCTTCATAGCCTTTTTAATATAGAAGAATGAATTCTTTAGGGATTTTTTTTGTGATTGTTAAAAGTTTAAAATTTTTGGGAAAGTATATTTTAAAACAATTATAATAATGTAAGTATATGACAACACTAGAAAATAAAAACCTTAAATGGTTTTTAACCTGGTTTTTATTCCTGGTCAAGCAGGATTTTCAATGATTCTATAATACAATGTGAATTTTATATACATGTCCAATCGTATTACACAACTTACTGAATTAAATTATAATTTACTCTGCATATTACTAGAACTTCTAAATTTTAACCTAATAATGTATTTTACAGAATTTTAACAAACATATATACATATTATACATATTGTACTAATTGCAGTAATTCACAAATCTCAGTAAATAAAAGGTGCTAGTATTAAACGATGACACAATTATTAGAATAAACAAGTTACCAAGTTGCACAAAATCTTCCTTAGTCAACCTGTGCAACGCGTTAGTTGATATATTCCTTCTTTTACACTCTTTTATTAACTTCTGTGCCCCCACTCCGCACAATAACATCTCGGTCTGCTTGGTAAATTCTAAAAAATCCAGATCCGTGCTCATCTTTTTTCGTAATGTGGAAAAATTCGAAAGAAGCACTTTGTGGAACTTCGAAATTTGTTTTATATCTACTGTGCGTTTGTATACAAACATTAGATCAGACGGCCGATTACAGAAACATTTCCTATTATATCGACGATAGCTTAGTGGACTCTGTTTTATCGATAGAGAATCGATAATACAAATCTCTGCAAGTATGTAAGGAAGTGTGTATAACTTATACATATGCCTAGTTCATACTGGATGCGATGGGCGATGAACGACGAGCGATAACCAATAAAAGTTTTGCTTTAGCTCACACGACGATGTAAAGAAGAGTTCTTATTGGTTATCGCTCGTCACGCATCGCTCATCGCGCCTAGTGTGAACTAGGCAATACACTGTACCTATTATAATAAATATGCTGTTTATGAGGTGAAACATATAAAAGTATTTTGTATTTCGTATGTAAAATACTAAGATTAACAATCAATTATAATTTTTATTATTTAAATTACATAAAATACTAAAAACTTTCAACCTTATTTTCGATTTTAAATACAAAATACTTTCATGTATACCCTAATGAAATACACTTGTATTGTAAATATATATACTGTGTGTTTTAAAAATAAAAATATTTCAAATACACACACATGCCAATCCTGGTGTTATTTCTTTACAGCTTTTGTAAATGCATAGATCGCAAGATGCGTCAGCTGCAAACGTCATCTACCATCCTATAGTGCATAAAACACACTATAGCTAAAAAGCTAAATATACGTCCCCATCCTGACAATTCTCGCACTGTCCTTGCCTCCCGTTCTTTTTCCTGGAGGTATGACCTTGATATTTGGTGTCGGTGTGGGATTGTTTTCCATCCTCACTCTGTGGGTACTGGTCGCACTAATATTCCTGATATCGTTGCGCATCGAGAGGAAGATTGGCTGGGTCTGTATAATCGCGATACTGCTCGTAAGCGCATTCACGTACATCTTGCTCAAAGTGCCGCGCGCGTCAGAGAAGTCCGCTCCCACGGATAGCAAGGTATGATCGGAGAAATTTTATTGGGAGGGATTGTGAGAGGAATAATATACGTTTGAATATATATATTCGCCGTACTCTTTCCAGTCGTTCTAGACGTTTTGACCGATTCATTCATTCAATCCGATTACAATAAACGCACTCAATTAAATCCCGATTAGCTCGTTCGAGTAATATGCCTATTCTCTAAATTCCCTCTTAGCCTGAATGAAATTATTAGTTTTTTGTTTGAAAAATTGGTCAAGAAGGTTGAATAATATAATTAGGAACCTTGCTGGAAGCAACTGTCGAATTAGTCATCGTTTAAGTTAATCGGAGTTTGGAATATCCGTTTGAGTTACTTCATGAATACAAATATAACAAATTGCTTTCATTAATAATTAACATATTTTAGAAAAGTTATCTAAAAATTACCTATTTTGCAAAAGTTATTTTAGAATCTGGAGTTTTTAAAATTATTTCCACATAGGCTTTATTTTAAAGATTAATTAATTATTGCAGCTTAATTTACCTGTTATTGTCAGACATAAATAAAATAGTTATTGAAATAAAAAATAGCACAAATTAAATTAAATTAGATTATTTATATTTTAAAGAAATTATTTAAGTGACTGAGTATTCATATGATATCTAAATAGATTCTTGTTTTTCAGGTATACGATCGACTTTTTGTCTGGCGTATAATAATTTTGATTGTATGTTTTATCTCATCTATAATTTCCGTTGTGGGATATATCAAATTTGGATTGGTGGAAGTTGTTAGACCAGTTAGAATAACCACCTGGGTTCTCTCTTTTGGGACCATCTTCAGTATACTTTAAATGAATAATACAAGAACGATATTATTGAAACACGGTAAAATTGAAACTTTTTTTATATCTAGTGATAGAGAATGTTTCTAGCAGTTAAATATTGCATTGTTATATATAGTTAACTATATTGCAACAATTTTCTTTTTAGGTACTCTTGTTCGCCAACAAGCATGAAGACATTTAATTGTGCAAGACTTAATTTATAAATGTAAAGTTCATCTTCTCGCATATCTATAGTAGTAATCAACCGTTCATCTCTGTATTATAAAAAAAAAGTTTATCTTTGTACATTATAAAAAGAAAAAAGAAAAGGAACAATGTTGTGCAGTATAAGAAATTGCATACCGTCTGTGGTGAGACGTATTTCATTATTTCGTCAGAATAATAAACGGTATGAGATAAATAATAATAGTGAATTTGTGAATAAGGTGATGAACGGCACTGTGCCAGTTATAGTCAATTTTCACGCAGATTGGTGCGATCCTTGTAAGATATTGACACCTAAGTTAATAGAACTTATAGAGCCTATGGATAAGTTAGATTTAGCTATAGTTGACGTAGAAGAGAATCCTGAATTGGTACACGTCTTCGAGGTAAAAGCTGTACCTGCAGTAATAGCGATTTCAAATGGCCTAGTCGTAGACAAATTTATCGGTTTAGTCAATAACGAGATGATAAAGAATTTAATACAAAAACTAACGCACGAAGGACCAATAACTACGGAAAGTAACGATACTAAGTCCTAGTCATGGCAGTATAGCAAATTATATATAAAATACACACTTTATGCTTCCATTTCTCTCTATCAATTAAATGTATTTTCATACTTGTAGAGAGAATGTAACATTTCAAGCTATTTCGTCCAAGAATTATGGCCTTTTTTATCTAATTAGATAAGCACTATGTAGGTAAAAATTTTAGATGTATATATATATATATATATATATTTGTTGTGTGAAATGGCAATATGATTACTTAACTAATATATATGTATCAATATTCATAAATCTGTTGATGTGTCCAAATTATATATATTATATTGAAATATTTATACTTCTATTTAGATATTCTATAATATAATGCTTATTTAATAGCCTGTATATTCTTGAATCGACCAAGAAGATGATAAAAATTTTCCTTTAGATGTTTAAGAGGCAAAAAAGATTCCTATATCATAGAAAAAATTATTAAAGAATCTATTGCAAAACCTGTAAACACTTTATGAAACTTGTGATATATACGTCTTTTTATAGACACGACTTTTCAATATATATCCTCGATATATTCGTATCTTCATTTAAACATTTATAAAAATAGTATATAGATCTAGTAAAAATCACTTGACAAATCAGCCTGATAACGAATTATGTGCATTAATGATAAATTTTCGAAGAGAGTGATACGAATTGTGTTATTTTTTTACGTACGATACATATTTTTTAAATACGCTTTATACACATATACATATATATTTTTCTGATATAACTTAATTTCGTTTAATAATATAATTAATAATAATAATGTTCAATAGATAATGTGTACGCTAATATCTTAAATTGTATAAAATGTATATATTAATTTCGATAAGTTATTCAAGGCTAGAGGACAGCTACTTTAACAGCTACGTAAATCGTGTGTGTATCTTTGTGGCAGTGAAGCCGAGATAAATCATTATCTAATCAGATTTCAATTTCTCGTTTATTGTTGATCATTGTGTACAATCAGTGTACGAAAGTACTGTCCATTAAAGATATAGTAGGCCAGAGATTATAATATAATATTATTATCCCACGTAATTCTGGTGAAAGAGCACCCTTTCCCCCTTTCCACTCTCTTTCGTCTTTCGGCAGCAAGCGATACATAAATGTGTTACCAACAATTAAAAGACTAGCTATAATCTTTTTCATTATCAGTCAGGTGCTTTTTAAGACACCATGATAAGGCAATGCTGTGATTCTGTGGTCACTTGCAAAAAATTATTTCTCTTTCCTATTTACCACAAATATATATGTATATTTATATATCTTATACATATACATATATATTCTTTTCTACACAGTAACGAACGAACGAGTTAAGTGCTTCAGCTTTACGCATTTTTTTGCAAGCAACCTTGCGTTTCTTATCATTTAAATAACCAATACCTACGTCTTTAACTCGTTTATAACATTTATAAGGAAACAAGTGAAGTAGAAATTGATTTACAGAGATTATATACAAAATTAGAAGACAAAGAAGAAAAATGAAAACGATTCGTAACTTTCTCTTAAGGATAACATTACATACATTTCGTTGCCCGATGGAACATTACATCAGTGCACTCAATATACGATATCCTCAATACATAATACCTAACAAGATGTCCATCGGACGTAAATGCACTGTTGACTAACAATCTTGTGAATAATTAAGTAATGCCAAGTACAAGTTCGAGAACTTTTGTACATGGGCACGGGCGTGGAAATGAACGAGATAACACCGCTATTTCAATTTACACCGATATGTCCCGCTAGAGCGATTTCGTGACACTCTGCAAAATTATATACTCAAGTAGAATAGATCCTGGACGCTTTGAAGTCTGCGGCGTTGAATGACGTATAACGACGTATATACAATTTATATATCTACAATGCTCTTACTTTTTAAAAAAGAGAATCGTAACAAAATGTAGAAAAACACGAATGACAATTTTATATACAATTAATCCTATCGATGCCACTTGTTGTACCTGCTATATAGCAATAGTACATTTAAAGAAGTACCCTCTCGTCTATATGATACATTATTACATATTCATAAATAATACACTTCTACTTTATGATTCGTTCTTTTCTTTTTATCTTTTCTTTATCCGCAAAAAAATATACACCGCATTTACATTAGATTAGTGGAAGAGAATGCGCCCAGATACGCTACCATTTCTATTAACCGATAGTAAATGATCTAGATACATTGGACAACAAGTAACATCTGCTCCGTCCCAAAAATGAAATAATATTTTTATATTAATATTCTATTATTATTAATATTATTAATATTATTAATATTATTAATAATATATTAATATTCACCATATTTTAATATACAGTATATATGGTACAACATGATACAATCAGATTGCATTGAATAACTTGGCGATTGGCATTTTATCTTCTCATGCAATTCGTCAGAAATAACAATATATGTATCCGTGATACTTACAAGGTGACAAAATATTTCTATATATCTCTCTGTCTCCTCTCTCTGTACAGTCTCTACAATTCTCGCAACAGATTTGCGTTGTTTCGCATCGAAATGTCCGAAACTTTAGCGATTCAATAACGATTAAGACGAAAAAAGAAAAACAGGACATTGAATCTGACGAGGAATGTCATCGAATCGTACCTGTAAAACTTCTAAGTACAATATCAACAAAAATGAGACCAAATCAAAAGAGTTTGCGGCGACAATATGCTAGCCCTGATAAAAAAAAAGTTGATAGAGAACGATAGAAAAATCCTATCATTTTGAATACGGAAATTGGTCCGTAAATTCACTAATTTGAATCAAATCATATAGGAATCTTGTACAAATCTTCAATTATACCAGAAGGTTTGCGGGTTATCGCCGTGTATTTCTTTATTATTGGTGCCAACATTTCGTGAACCATGCCATTCACTTCATCAGGGCGAGGGATGCGCTGATACTGAGTTGCTACCCTGGGGGACTCCCTGTATAGACGTTGTTGGGAAAGGGAGGGTATGTTGAGGGGTGAGGGAAGGAGTACTTGTGCAAATCTTATAGAACATGATAAAATATCATAGAATTCATAGCCAATCAATCGTGATGCTCGCAAAGTTGACGACAGAAAATGATATAAACTTATATAACACACACACAATACAAATTGATAGAAATGCTATCGTTCTTAATCGTTCTCTATTAACTTTTTTTTATCAGAGAGGAGAGAGACACGAAGGAAGTCTCACGAGCAATTCTACAGTGAAGTAAGTGAAAAATATCGCAAATTCTTCGGTACTCTGAAAAGAAGGAAGGAGAAATGAGATGCTAAACGTTGTAACTGTAATCACAATGACACTTGTCAACCGAAATAAATTAAGGATCTCATGTGATTGAGCATGTCGTTGATCCGAGTCTTTCAATTTACGATCTAATGGCGAGTATTGACTTCGTGGAAGTAGGTAACTAGCATTCGACATTGTCAGTACAATACATTTGTTCGCGTTAGAAATTAATTTCCATGCCAAGTCGAAACCTTCGAACAAAATCAGACAGTTGATGGCCAGCAGTCGATACGTATGGAATACTGCAAGTCTGCAGATGGAACAAATATACAAAAACGATGACCGTAGGTTGTCGCGTTCCAAAAATGTTATGCTAAACTTCCGCTCCCAGATCGCGTACGCCTTGCTCGGCTATCGGCACATATTTGTCTTCGATCTTTACGAGTAGGATAACTTTGTCGACGTGCGATCGCCGATTGGGGTCGCGATGATTCGGCGACCAACGATGAACTACACAACCTTCCATGCCTCTCTCTGGTACCCAATGCTGCCAGCCGGAACGACCACCTTGCTGTCGCATTCTTTCGTCCGGCCAAATCACATCTATACGTCGACCCAAATTAATTGCGTCGTATACTTGATTAGGATCCATAATCTGTTCAAGGAAATTGCCTCATTAATGATTCACGTGTATTTTTATAAAATATTTCTATCTCTTTCATATAAATCTATCAATAACACTATCGAATCAAATAGCGATTGAAAGTTTAAAATAATAAAATTACAACGCTTAAATTTTGAATAATTTAGCATCAAATATCATCAAAAAAATGTGTTAACAATTCATTTTTTATTAATTCGATGACTAATACAATTAATGGTTGAAAATAGCTCTAATAACACATTTTTATGTTTAATTTACAATAAGTTGATATAAACTCGATGCATATGACACTACGATACTTACGCGAACTCTTTGAAACACTTCCTCTTTCTCTAGCTTGCTGGAAAAACTCGTCTCGCTCTTTGTCTCCATTTTAATATCATTACTACTGAGAAGTCCGGCCAAACTGGCGAGTGTCGAGCTGGTTGGCTTCCCGACGGAAGCTAGCGAGCCTCTGTTACCACCGAGAGAACCCGTATTTGCACGACCGAGGGAACCCCGACCAGTCGAACCGCCGATTTGACAGCCAGACTCCATTGATTGAGAACCGGAAGTGTTGTGACCCGATTGGGCATAGCCTATCATTCATAAATTATGTATAACAGAATAATATAGCAAATTTGAGATTGTTGTTAAGATTAATGGTCTATTGAAATAATATTGATGATTATCAAATGGATATTTGCAAGTACCAGAATGTATGTTGTATGTAGTCATCGCGTACACTCCGTCATTTCCAAAGCCTCCGTCGTCTTGGGAACCAGTAGCTCCCGAGGAACAACCTTGACCACATCTTCTTCTTATTCTAAAAATGAACAAAGTTCAATTGTCAGATTTAGAAATAAATTGATTACGTTATCTATTTAAAATTAGGTTGAATCATATGGTTTGAAGGTAAGAGGATCACCTTCATTCTAAATACGTACCTTCTCCACAGTTTCAACACAGTGCTTTTTATAGTACCAAAAGTCAATGGTCCTCCGATTATCGAGCACAAATGTTCATTAGTCTCAGCGTAGCTGGTCGTCAAAGGGGAGACGTAAATCGGATATCCAATCGGTTGGTCGCAAGAACTATTGATTATATTTCTCAGAGCTTGTTTAGCGTTCTGTATCGAGCCGCGCTCCGGATTTCTGTTTCTCAGATATACTAGCTCTTGCTGCTGACCGGCCCAAAGTCCACGGACGCATTCGCGGTTCATT